CCCCTTAATAATATAATTTAAAGGTGTCGGAATTTTTTTTTTTTTTTTAAAAAAAAAAAGAAAAAAACAAGAAAAAAAATTTTTTTTGAATAAATATAATGGAAAATTTTTTAACCGAGGCTATATAAATACTTGTCTTGGGAGAGGGAACTCTTCCCGCTGATCATTCAGACCAAAAATTTCAGGACGAAAAAAAGGTGGAAGAGTTCAAAAGTGCTTATGGAAATTAATTGTTTTACGCATTTCAACATCACCAACTGTTTATTCAGTCCTTTCTGAACATTTTGATATGAAGTTTAGAAGAAGTTTGCTAGAAGGTTACAGATTTTTTTGACCAAAAAATTTATTTCTCGTTGTCAACTTAATGGTAGTGATCCAAAAATGCCAAGGAAGGGCTGGGTGTTGCTCCACATAAAGGTTTGTCAGTGGGCGATAATAGAGGTTTGGAAAAATAAAAAGTTGGCCTTTGGAAGCTTCTTGGATAGCTTGGAAATAGTGGTTTCTTGGGAATTTTTTGTCGCAGAATTTTTTTTGTCTGCGCAGCAAAAATTTTAGCATGCGGATGAAATCTAAAAGTAGAAACAGAAGATTCAGTAAGGAACCAATTGGATGGTCAGGAAATGAGGTGATTTACTGCAGGACAAATTGTGGCAACAAATTTATCTGAGGAAAGGATCAGCCATATGGGGATCAGCCATATCCACAGTAATCACATGAGGATTCTAGTTTTGACTTGGGCGGTAGCAATGTAAATAAATGTAGACAAACTTTTGTTTTGTTCAAAGAACTAACGTTGGGCAAGTCACTGTGAATGGACAGGGTAGTTATAGAAAACGCGCTTTTTGGGAAGATGTACGCTCCACTGCGGGCCTAGCCAACTCTTCAGGGGAAAACGCTCTTTTCGGGAAGATAGACATTTCACTGTGAGGCCTAGCCAACTCCAGTGATTTTTTTTTTTTTTTGGAATAGATAGTTGTTAGGAAGATTTTTTTAGTTTGGTTTAGAATTAGGGTAGTTTTTGTTGTTTCATTTTTCTTCTGAGAAGTGTAAAATGCGTAAGGTAGGATTTTTATGATTAATAAAGTATCTATGTGTGGGGAGTTTGAGGGAGTTTAGCATTGGCGCAAACGCTTGGTTAAAAATTTGTTAAACTAGGAGTATAAATAGCTAGTGTTAAATTTCGTGTTTTCTTTTTTGTTATTGGGTTTAGTTTTAGTTTTTCTTCTTGTATGTTTTTTGTTTTGTTTTTGTTTGTAGTAGATAGATACTTTATTAGCAGATGCATGTCATCTAGAACATGATGCGCTGTTTCTGCGATCATCATGTTATTAATAAAGTTTAAAAAAAAAATAAAATAAAATAAATAAATAAATACTCGTCTTGCGTAATTGAATAAGGTAACAAATGATCAGAGCCAAAATTACGTAATGCCACCTGAAATTATCTAAAAAGAAAGGATCTACGTATTGTTTTTTTTTCTAATCTTTTTATGTACTGTATTACTCAGATCAATCAGATCATGCAATGCAATTAGAGCTGCGACCCTTAGAATTTCTGAATCCATCCCAGCCAAATGATCGACATAGTTTCTAAGCTAAGTGGGCGTGCACTACATCCTAGCTTATAAACTGCCCATGGGCTATACATGCCACCCAAATTATTTTGGACTGCCGTAATTATAAGTAAAATACCAAATTCAATTATGGAATCCCAAATTATTTTGGCACTTTACATAGTAAATTATATATAAACTGAATGAATTATGGCATCCCAAATTATAATTATGGCATCCCAAAATAATTTGGGCAGCATATATACCATGGGCAGATTAGCCCACAAGATCTGATTGGTCCAAACAACTTACCAACATTAAATTACAAATAAGGCAATTTTATAACTTTTGATCGGATATTTACTTATAAACTCATAGTCAAGGATTGCATTAATGTACATTTTGTATCACCTTATAACTATAAAAAAGGCAAAAATTTTTTTAAGGTTACACACTAATTTGGCCAGAATTAAGATAATTTCGCCCAGCAAAATTTGGCCAGAATTATAAAACAGACATAAATGTCCGTTTGCAAATTTGTTCAGAATTATAAAAATGGACATTTATGTCCGTTTTTGTAAATTTGGTCAGCATTATAAATGCAAATATTATAAATTGCATCAATTTATTATAATCCAGTAATCATAGAAAAAATAAATTATAACTTGTTAGCTTTATCTCATCAAGACATGTTAAATTGTTAAATTGTGGTTTCTATCATCAATAGATGGAAAGTTATTGGCATTTGGAAATATTTAAGAATACAAAAAAATTCTTTTCAAACAATGTAAATATCTTATTATTTATTAATCCTAAAGGTATAAAACTCCTACCATTTAATACATCTCAATACAATCCAACAAGCTGTGTATTATTTTTTTACAATTACTTGATGACAAGTTAATGCAATTTAACTTTTAGCAATTTGGTATATTTTAACCAAAAAAAAATTTTTTTATTGTAAATTTAAGGGACAGATCGCCATTCAACCGGAGAAATTTAATAATGCCAATTTACACAGATTATTGCCAAAAATGGCTAATACTCCTTTTTTACCAGATCGTCGACTCATCACGTGATATGACGTACAAATTTTAAAGATGGTAGTCGATAGTGACAATCCTAGCTAAGCTACTCGCAAAATTTGAAGTCGTCAAAGTTCCACAGCTTTGACTTTACTATGTAGGAACGCGAGATTCTGGCCATAAATTTCCGGTAATTCGAATTTTAGACTAAAGCTCCGAACGGGTCGGTTTGGTCCGGATTATAGACGGTTCGGATTAGAGCCGAAATCCGTAAGAACCGAACCGAAAAACTGGCAGTTCAGTTCGGTTTAATCCGATTTTTATAAAAATGCGAAAAATCGAATATCCGGCCATCTAGTGATCGTATAAAGTCGAGCCATATATCATTGGATTTGTCTCGACGAGACGCGTCGAATGGTGGTAAGATCATGTCTCTAGCATCGATAGA